CTATGTCCAGTTCCGCGTCTCCATGGAGTGAGTGCGGGCACGGCGGGGGACGGGGCACGGCCTGGCATAGCCCCCCCCCCGCTGCTGCACCCTGAGCGCTCGCCCTCTCCCCTGCCGCAGGTCTCGGCCCGCTGCCGCCTGTCGCCGCCTGGGCTGCAGCTTGTCCTGTTAGCTGAGGGGAAGGCCAAGTACCACCCTTTGGGCAGGATGAAGGGGCTTCTGCCTCAGGGAGGCCTTTTAGAGGGCTGCGAGAGCACTAATTTAAGTACGAGTCTTGCTTGGCTCCTTTTCCTGAGTGTTAGTGAGGCTCAGCCTTCCCTTCAGAAGGAAGTTCGTATGAAAATGATCCAGAGGAAACAAGGTGATGTCCAGGTGTTTGTTTCTTTCAACCTGACCAGTCTAGTTGCACACACTAAAGCCCTCAAGTGGCAGGCCCTGAAAAGATTAGAAACTGCTCTTCAGAAGACTAGAAAGGAAGGGGTTTTGTCTCGGGCAATGAGAAAGCCTACCACTGTCGCTGAATACAGAATATATGTGGGGTTTTCACTGTTGAGGCTACAGAGGATAAAATATTTGTCATTGTTACAGTTTATGGATAATGACATTTCTGTAGCAGTATGTAGTCTACGTTGAGTTTATACTTTTGTGCAGTCAAGGTATCTTGGTTAAAAGGAGAAGATGTACTTATTCCAGAGTATCAACCAGTCTGTAAATACTCTGGCTCTTTTTTTTTTTTTTTATTTGTTTAAAAATTTACACTTCTTTCTTTCCCCACAATGTGTTTGCATTGCCTAGAATGACAAAAGTGGATATCAAGAATTACCTTGAAAAAATATACAATGTGCCGGTAGCTGCTGTGAGGACCAGGATACAGTATGGTAAGTGCGTTTGAGTAATCCAAAGGAATGAATACAGCATCCCTGCACACACGTGATTGACTTTTACTATCAAAAGGTCCATTAGATTTCAACAGTCTTTGGTTCCAGGTGCTTAGCTGGTGGTGTCTGTCAGCTTACTTATTTGTCCCCCTACACCATTTCATATTTGAATGATTTGATTACATTATGACATAAATTTAGTTTTAAAAAGAGAAACGTGAATTTAATAAGCCCTATCATCTTGACAGGTATCTAGCTTGTGCTGTATGCTTTTGTAGTTGGTACTGTTGCTCCTTGGAGACCAGTGAGTGCCTCACTTCTGAAGGAACTGCTTCATGTTTTAATAAAATTAATAATTAAACTTAATTTCAGCCATAGCCTTTTTTTAAAAAGTGTGAGTTGAGATTACCTGTCATACACACAGAGGAAGTGTTATGGCCTAACAAAAGGGAAAGTTTGTAGAGCGAAGAAGAGTACTCTGCTAGACCGGTAGATAATGTTAGTAAAACATCTTGACAGACTTTCAGTTTTTCATCGACTTTCAGTTTTTCATCATTGCATTTTGTCATTATTGCATTTTTGCTACAGACGTAGTATGCTTCCACTCATGGTGTTTCTCCCTTGTGCCACCCCTACAAAAAAAGCCCCACCAAAATCTCAACATAAAACCAACCCAAAAGAAAAAGAAAACAACGTCCCTAGTTTCAGTTATGCTGAACTTGGACTTGGATCCACCTCTAACTGAAATAAGCTAAATTTATATAATGTACCTTTACATATGAATGCTTTCTTCCCCAGAGCTTCTCTGCAGTTTGGATGCAGTGCAAAGTCAGGAATATAATTTTTGTGTTATTTACCTTTTTGATCACCAGGCAGTGTGTCAATCAAATGGAGAGTGACTTGTTAGGACATCTTTGATGGCAGAGTTTTTCATGCAGTTGACTTTAGCAAAGGAGTCGATTGATATTTTTATAATGATAAGAGTAGTGATGATTTTAAAAAAGGGGTAGGAAAAAAGAGCTGTAATAGTGAAAAATGGAGAATGAAAGAAAAAGGTTCAAAGTAAGATTGTAAAACTCAGAACATATGAAAGAAGAAAGACAATGGAAGGATAATCTGTAATATGCTTATGTGAAAAACAGATAAAGTCTTAACTCCCAAAAACATGCAGTTCCAAACAGCACTGAAAAATACTCATGCTTGTCCTCGTGACCATTTCATCCCCCACTGCTAGTGGAAGTGAAGGTAGTATGTCTATATTCAGTGATAAAAGAGGAAGGGGGGTTAGAGTGTCTAATAATTTGAGAGCTTTAATGTCTGCCTAACATACAGGGACTAAATTGAACTTCCCACTGAGTTGTGACCAGCAGTCACCACTTCAGCTACTCACAGAAGGTTGAGGTGCTTTGGTTTTTTTGGATGTGGAGTCTAATTTCCTGGTGTATAAACAGTGGATCCAGCTCATTAGCTGCATAGTAATAATTAAGTTTGAAGCTGCTTAGTGGTCATTTTCTCCTTGTGTTCCTGAAGCTGTTAATGTTGGGACAGATTATTGCTCCTGACCCCTGGCTCAGGAGACTTATCTCCTTCTTTGCGAACTTTGTGTGTGACATGAAGGCACAGCCATTGTCAGCAGCCTGAGTCTGGTGATGCCTCAGTTCCCTACTTGTAAATGAGGACAGTAGTGTCTACCAATTTCAGTACATTTTAGTAATTGTGATGCTATACTGATACTAAAGAAAGAGTATTCCTCTTAACAGTAAATCAGAACTTGTAAAGTGCCCCCCGTATGCTTGGCCTTGCTTTGGGGAACTTAGAAGTCCTGGGAAGTAAAAGGTGGAACTCTCTTCATTTCTGCAGGTGCAAACAACAAGAGGAATCACAAGAATCAGAGAGAGAAGAAGCCAGATTACAAGGTTGCCTATGTACAGCTGGTGAGTTAACGTGGATGCTTGTGGGGAAAGAGGAAGGGACTTTTAACCTGCCAAG